TTTGATCCAACTGACCTTCTTGTCCATCATGACTATTGTGTTGCTCTCCTGAGGCTGGGGTGACCTTTCCTCCCTCTACAGCTTTCCAAATCTTCCACTTCTATCAAGGTCTTGAGCAATTTCTACCACCTAAAGGAAACTTGACTCCTTGAAATTCATTATTAACATTTCTTTTGTCTAAATTTTTATAATACTTATAGCCTACATAGCACACTGAAACAACAATGATGTTCACAAACCTTTCCTCCTCAATTAGACTATAAGTTCTTCAAGGGCACAAACTATCTTCTACTTCATTTATATCTCTTATGCCTCAAGGGAACTTGGAATTTGTAGTGTTAAGTATGGCAGTGGAAAACTAATGGAGTTGTAGAATCAGAATACACACACATATTATTATTATTAAGAATCATAATACAAGAGTTTGAAGGGGTTTCAGAAATAGCATTATATGAGAATTGTAAGGGACCTCAGCAACAATCTAACATTACTCATTTATGAAAGGAAGTGAGAAATGCTAGAAACCAGTTAGTCCAACAAGAGTCCCATTCACATTGCAGGTGTTCATACAGTCTTTCCTTAAAAGCTTTTATTGAGGAGGAATTCCTGGTAGGAGTGAAGCTGGGGTTCATTTGGAGGCATGCAGAAGGTCTCATAAGGAAAGAAGTGTTGTAAAATGGGAAAAAACTGGATTTTGAGCAATAGGTTTAAAACCTGCCTTTGCTCCTTGCTACCTGTCTGACCTTGGACAAATCACTGAATTTCTGGGCTTCATTTTCCCCCATCCTTAAAACTAGGGGTTAATCTTGGTCCTGGAGACCCAATTATAAATTCAAATAACATTTTTTGTAAAGAGGCAGGGATTTATGGGTATAGAATGTTGCATATATTATGAGACCCCTTTACTATATAGAGTGGTCTTGCTTAATTGCTGTTTCCTTGTTACAAGGGAGTACTCGTGTGTGTGTGTGTGTGTGTGTGTGTGTGTGTGTGTGTGTGTGTGTGTAGGTGTAAGTATAGCTAGGAATGACTGTAAAGACAAAAGGCGTGAACTAAACTTATTTTAAACAATAAAATGAAGAGGCTGGACTAGATGATCTCTAATTCTCTAAAATCCTATGATGCTAGGCTGTGATGATATGATGGTGCTTATTAGGCAAACTCTTACTCGTTTGTGTCAGTCTTTGGCAGATTGATTACTAGAAGGTGATATGTAGTTGAAATATGGCAGATTTCATGAGGTCATCTGATCTTGATAATTAAGGGAATCTAGCTGTGCCAGGTGAGGAATCTCTAAAGTCTGAGACAATTCCATGAAGGAAGTTTTCCTGAACTCTGTGATCTAGCCAAACTGGCTGTCTCTCTGTTCTTCATGCACAGCACTCCATCTCCCATTTCCCATCTTTCATACCTTTGCACTGCTCATTCCCCATGCTTGGCATTCACTCTGTTCTCACAACTGCCTCATAAGATTCTTCTCTTCCTTTAGGATGTAGGTCAAACACCATCTTCTGCATGAAGCCTTTCAAGACCCCTAAAACTTCTAGTGTTTTCTGTCCCAAATTACTTTGTATTTAACAACTACACACACACACACACACACACACACACACACACACACAATGTATTATTTCACTTTATGTTTATACTGTACATATCTGTGCATAAATTTGTCTTCAACATTAGAACAAAAGTTTCTTATGGATATGGATTGTCTTAGTTTTTGTAATTTTAATCCCAACATCTGACACTGTTCCTTGAACATAATAGGTGCTTAATAGTTGATATTTGTTGATTGACTAGGTTCATAGAACAAGATTAAGTCAGAGTGAGTTGGGGCAAATTGTCCAGTATATAGAGGAGTAGGATAGCCTTGAAACTGATAATGGTAGTTATGAAGTCTGTTCCTGTGGTCCTGTCCTCCCAGCATTAAAAAGTTTGACATGTTTAGTCTTTAATTCCTTGTCAGACTGGATCCTTTAGAGGTATCAAATGAGGATTTGGGAGTTTGTAAATCACTTATATCAGAAGATTTTACCTATTAATATTCTGCTGTTATGTGTAGGGGTATGTCTACCTTAACCACTTTTCCTTTTCTGTAGTACATATGTTTAATGATAGACATGATAGAATAAAGACCTAAAATAATCATTTTGTCCCCAATGGGACAATGGGATGTTTTTGTGAGTGTGACAGGAAACATGAGATGGTAGAAATATTGTTGGACGTGTATTCTGAAATCATGGGCTCTAAGTTTGGGCCTATCCCATTATTGCCTATATAGTCTTGGACAAATAGCTTCACCTCTCTTGGCCTCAGTTCTCTCATCTCTACAGCAAGAGGTTTGGATTAATTATTCTTTAAAGTCCCATCCAGCTCCAATATCCTGAGTGATTTGGTGTCTCTATATAGATGTCTTAAAGGATATAACCAACTCAATTTTCCACAGGTTAACTACCTAGTAGACAAGTAGCACAAAACAAGGAAAATCATTTTTTCTGCTTCCAAAACTTTCTCTCTGATGGAAAAAAGCTTAAATGAAACAATAGAATCTTTCCACACCTGACCATACATACACTCCACCCCATCCCCACGTAGATATTTATAGAGCATGGACATATTGTGGTCAACACAACATACAACCCTTTTAAAAACAACAACAGCAAACTATATTTAAAATCAAGACTTCATTAACGCAGGCATATTCAAATTAATTCAATGGTCATTTATTGATCACCTACTCTGTACAACTCACAATGTTAGATGCTAAGGGGACAATAAAGGGCATGAAGACAACTTATGAAAATCATAAAATCTCAGATTTGAAGACATTTCTTAGTTCTTACTAGAAAGGCCCTCTAGGCTCAATCAGAATGAATGTAATTCATCTTTCCCAGGTCTCTTTTTAGGTCTTTGAATAATTGAAGGTAGTTATTGCATCACTCCAGAATCTTCTCTTCTCCAGCATATATCATAGGATCTTAGATTTAGACCTGGAAATGACCTTAAAAGTCAATTAATCCAACTCCTTCATTTTATAGAGGACAGAACTGAGGGCCAGTGAGTTAAGGGCCTTGCTTAATAATAGGTTGTAAGAAGCACCATTGGAATTCAAATCCAACACTTATGCATACAAAACCTATTTTTTTCCCCACTACACCATAATACCTCTTGAACTCCTTCAATTGATTCTCATCTGTCATGATTTCCAGTCCTCTAATTTTGGTTTCCTTCCTCTCTACAAGCCTCGATTTGTCAATGTCCTTCTCAAAATGTGGTGGCCAGGGGCAGCTAGGTGGCACAGTGGATGGAGTTCCAGCCTTGGAGTCAGGAGGACCTGAGTTCAAATCTGGCCTTGGACACTTGGTGCTTACTAGCTGTGTGACCCTGGGCAAGTCACTTAATCCTCACTGCCCCCCCCCAAAAAGCAGTGGCCAGAACTCAATACAATGCTCTATGTTTGTTCTGACCAGAGAACAGTAAGTGTCAGGATGGGAAGGGGAAGGGAGGTCTAAGGAACTAGACTCAAAAGCATGCATTCTTCACCTTTAGGAGTGCTCTGGTCTCTCTATAGAGGAACACATTTGAATCTCATTTCTAATAATTTCTTACTTTTTTTAAAAGAGTCAGAATGACAGAGTGGATAAGTCTTTACAGGGGTGGGGAACCTGAGATCTCAAGGCTATATGTGACCCTCTAGCTCCTCAAGTGAAGCCCTTTGACTGAATCCAAACTTCACAGAACAAATCCTTTTATTAAGGGATTTGTTCAGGTTCTCCACCCCTGGATAAGATATTGGACTTCAAATCTGTAAGACCTGGGTTCCATTCCCACCTCAGATACTTAATAGCTCTGCTATCTTGGGCAAGTCAGAAAACTTCTCTGGGTCTCAGTTTCCTCATCTATAAAATTAGAGGGGTGGACTTGATGAAATTTAAGGTCCCTTCCAATTATGATCCCATTATCTTGAAATGTGACTATCACCTCCCTTGTTGCGGAATATTACATCTTGAGGAGAGAAAAATTAGTCCCTGTTCTTGAGGAAATTGCTATAATGTGACATAAAAATCTATTCCTCTAGCATGTGCAAGTATTAAATATGTGTTAGTCAATGGCATTTTGGCTGTTGAATAGTCCATACCTATACATGATTAGGGCAACCCAACTTTTCTATTTCCATCAAAAATATTTCCAAAAGCTCCAGAACAATGTTTTTGTGCATTTGTAATTTTAAACCTTTTGCCCATGATACCTTTTTGGGACAATTTGAATGCCATAATGGGAATTATGTACAATAGAGAACAAAACATAATATGAACAAAACAATGAGATACTCCCGTTCCTGATAAGTATCATCTAAAATTAGACAAAGTGGTTGTTTTAGGCATCAGTGAACATCCTCCTACACCCAAAATTTGTTTACTGGAGACTTGTTTCAGGCAGCAGCTCATCTTTAATCATTATCACCACTGCAAAATGTACTAATTTTTGCTCATATTTTTAGTCTTTTAAGTTTATAGTTTTTTTTTGTGGGGCTAGGCAATAAGGTTAAGTGACTTGCCCAGGGTCATACAGCTAGTAAGTGTTATATGTCTAAGGCTCAGACACATAACATTTGAACTCAGGTCCTCCTGAATCCAGGGCTGGTGCTCTATCCACTGTACCACCTACCTGCCCCTTTAATTTTATAAGTTAAAGGGTTCTCTTTAACATTGTCATGTCTCCATGTACCTCTGTCCTCCATGTCAATGTTAGTATACTAACTTGGTCCAGGGCTGGGGAGCAGAAGTTGGATTTTTTTTTTTGTTCTGTGAAGTTTGGATTCAGAAAAAAGGGCCACACTTGAGGGCCTAAAGGGCCACATATGGTCTGGGGGCCTCAGGTTCCCCACCCTGCCTTGGCCAATGGAGTGATGTAATAATCCCAGGCCACTCCTCCCACACTCATAATTCAAATATATAGATTTGGGGAAATACTAAGTTTGGCTGTGACCATAGGAATTGAAATAGAATTGAGTTCATTTGTAGATATGTTATGTTCAGTGATAATTACTGGATCATAGACTCAGAGAAGGAAAGGATATTAGATGTAATCTAGTCCAACCCCCTTTCCTGGATCTGCTCTTGGATCTCTAGACTTTTCCACCATTCCCTAGCAGTCTCTTCACTTGGTAAGATGCTTTTTCCTTTCTGGCACTCTCCTCTTGAAAGATCAGTCTGGCCCTGTGGCCCCCTTCTCTTATGAATTCCTTTGAACCTCCATTTAAGAAAGGTCACAAGACAGCCATACTCACTCCTTCATTGGAGCTTTCCCAGCTCTACTCCTTACTTTCAGGACTTGTTCAATCCTCTTCTTTCTCATTTTTCAGATCCCATTTTATAAATTATCTTTTCCCAATGGGATGTAAGCTCCTTGACTGTGGGAACTTTCTTGGTTTTTGCTTGCTGTTGTCTCCCTAGCACTTAATACAGCTAATTTCTGTTTAATAAACACTCTAACTACTTACTTAATCTATTTATATATCTAATCTATCTTCTACCTCATTTTATGGATGAGGAGTCTGCAGTCCACAAAAGTGAAGTGACTTACTCTGCTTCTATCTGAGTTTCTTTGACTAAGGACACCATGTCTGTATTGTATAGGGAGGGTTTAGAACCCGCAAATGTGACCTCACAAGGGTATGATGCAGCAGTAATCTTGGATGAGGGATTAGATATTTCTGACTCTTTCAGGTAGAATTGTGAGGAAATTTGAAGGTTTCAGAGAACCTGTTGAGTACAATCAATCAATCAAAAACATTTAAGAATTACAAAAAAGAAAAAATAAAATAGTTCTTTCCCCCAAGGAGCTCACATCCTACCAGGGAAAGATAATATGCAAATAATTGGATCTATACAAGATATATACAGAATAAATGGAATGTAATCTGAAAGGAGGAAGGCAGTAGCAGCCATAAGAACCAGGAAAGGTCTCCTGCTAAAAGGTGGGATTTGAGTTGAAACCATAAGGAAACCAGGGAAATAAGAGATCAATTTGACCAGGTAAGACATTTCAGGGCTGGGGGTCAATCAATCAATCAATCAATCAACCTTTATTAAGTGACTACTATGTTCTAGGAACTATGCTAAGTGCTGCAGATAAAAAAAAAGATGAAAGACAATATTTACCTTCATTGATCTTTGACTCTAATGGGGTGATAACACGCAAACAAATACATACAAAGCAAGCTATGTATAGGATAAATGGAAAATAATTAATAGAGGGAAAGTACTAAAATTGAGAAAGGCTGGGGAAGGCTTCCTGGAGAATGTAGGATTTTAGTTAGGTCTTAAAGGAAGCCTGGGAAGTCAGTAGTCAGAGTGGAGGAAGAAGAGTGTTCCAAGCATGGGGGACAGCCAGAAAAATTCCCAGAGCCAAGAGATGGGGTGTCTTGTTCATGGAACTCCCAGGAGGCCAGTGTCACTAAATCAAAAAATATGTGTTGGGAAGTAAGGTGTAAGAAGACTGGAAAGGTAGGAAAAGGCTAGGTTATGAAGAGTTTTGAATGCTAAACAAAGTATTTTGTATTTGATCCTAGAAGCAATAGGAAGCTAATGGAATTTATTTTATAGGGAGGACACATGATTTGATAGAAGAATTGGGAGAAGAAAAGATTAAAGATGGAGGAAATTTTGTTGCCTATGGAACAGGCATTTTGGGGGTACAGTGGAAGGGTTCTGTGAAGTTCAGGACAGTCAGTACAAAGAGAGAGATGGTAGGTGGAAAGAAATGGCAGAAGAAACTAGGAGATAAGGTATTTTAGAGAATTTGAGGTTCTAACTGCCAACGAAAAAGGAGAATAAAATTCAGCAAATTTCTATGGGAAGAGTAGGAATGTTTCTTTTTATTTTTAAATTCTGAATTTAACAGACACCAAATAAAGTGGGCATTTCCATATACATCATAGAACAGGAGAAGATTATACAAACTCTATTATGTAAAGCTTCCTTTTATTTTAAAGCATATATCATCAACTTTCAGAGTTGTCTTCCTAGTTTATGATTCCTTCTGGCCTTCCTTATGTTCACTTTTTTTTGGAGGGGGGTGAATAAAACCTCATTTGTATTTCTCTTTTCCTTTCTACTCTCCCCCAGTTACAATAAAAAAGATAAATCACTTGTTAAAAAAAACATATAGAACAAGAAAAACAAATTAGAAATAACTTTGTAAATGAGCCCACCCTATTCTTTTTCAATGTTAAAGTACAATGATTGGCCTTGGTTTAATCACTACTGTCCACTGCTGCTTAGAGACAGACATGTTCCTAGTGATCAATAGGTACTGTTCATTTAGTAGGAGCTGAGAAGCAGGCTCTATAAAAATGTGTGCTTAAAATTGTGAGAATTATAGATAGAACTCCAATTCATTTGCTGCTCAAGACATCAGCCTTGTGATGTCATTGATCCTCTGAGAGCAAACAACATGTCTGACTCTTTGTGACACCATGCTCCATAGCACACCAAAGTCTTTTATCCTCTGCTATCTCCCAAAATCTGTCTAAGCTCATGTTTGCTCTCCAGGGAGATAAAATGTACGTATATAAATATATGTAAAACATAAACAAAGCGAACATAATGGAAGGGAGGGCACTAGCAGTGAAAGACCAGGAAAGACCTCCTATATAAGGTAATGTTTGAATTGCATCCTGAAGGAAGCCAGAGACTTCCAATAGTACAGGAGAGTAGGAAAAACATCCCAGGCAAATCGAAATGAACTTTGTGAATTAGAAATCACATTAGGCTTTTCACTTCTTATGTGAGGAAATAAGCAAATGCGTATACTCTCAAGGAATAGTAAAGAAAACAAACAAAAACCAAAAACCTTAGTGAAATTCTGGCAATTCTGGAGGGGGTGAAAGAATGCCCATACATTTTAATTTGGAATGAATTAGTTCTCTAAATTTGGTAATTAGTGAATTGATTTTTGAACTATAAAGTTTCAGCTAACTTATCTTTTTATGTTTGGCCAACGTAAGATGGTAAATTTAAGGATCTAAATTACAGGATAGAAAGAGGATTGTGAAAGAAGCATGAGAGAAAAGAAAAAGGTGAAAAGAAAATAAGGGATATAGCTTGCTGTATAGCCCTTTTAAACTTGCCCCTTTATTCCTAAGGACTCCAGTGACTCCTAGTTGCCTTTAGGATAAAATATGAACTCCTCTTTTTGTCTTTTAAAGCCCTTTACAACCTGGCTAAAATCTACTTTTCCTACCTGATTATATTTTATATTATATATTATGCCCCTTCGCATACTCTGTGATTTAGATACACTGACCTTCTTGCTGCTCTTCAATGTGATTCCTTATCTCTGGTTTTCTTGCATTTGCAATGACTGTTCTCAGTGCCTAAAATACACTCCTTCCTTGCCTTCACCTCACAAAATTGCTTATTTCCTTCAAGTCTCAACTCAAGGATCATTTTCTTTCTATAGGAAGTCTTTCCTGTCATTCCTAACTACTAATTCCTTCCTTTGTAAACTACCTTGTTTTTATGTATTTTTGTTTTGTATGTATTTATAAATTTATATGTTATTTCCCTAACAGAACATAAGCAGAGATTAAAAGCAGGGATTTTAAAAAAATTTTTGTCTTCATATCTTTAGCACCTAGCACAGCAGCAGTAGACACTGGAGGCTTTGTACCATCCAGTGTGTGAGTTGTCCTGGTCACATGTGTGTTTCCTGGCCACACATGTCCCCTACATATATACCTCTCTATGTATTTTTCCTGGTCATCTGTAGTCTCTGCATTTTATCTCTCCCACTGGTAGTACAGAAACCTTCAGGAAAAGGTACCTCTGTGTGTTTGGGGGAGATTGTTTTTGCCACATATTTTGCTATGTTGTTTGATTAACTATATTTTCCTTTAAGATAATGTTATCTGGTGGGTTTAATTAAAGGCATACATGAAGTTGGACCTTGTTAGCTATGGTTTTGAGTGAATGCTGAACCAAAAAAAATGTTTGAAACCTGGAGTCATTTCAAAAATTTGGGGCAGGAGAGGGGTAAACATGACAAAGGAACTACCTATGATTGCAAGAGTAAGTAGATCTGTCCTGCGGCAAGGACTAAGAATAACAGATGAATAGCATGTGTGCAATGATGTTACCCGGAAAATGCTAACAAAGTCCTACGAAAGGTTTACAGAATTATCTCTAGAGAATATTTAAGGGCATGAAAAAGAAATGCAAGGGATGATAAGGAATGAATGGACTGCAATCTGCACAGGTGTAATGGTAATCTGGGACTAAAGAAGCACCAAAGTACTACTTTATTTACCATGTTGAAGGTTGAAGTTATCTCTCTCCATCCAAATCTAACTTTTCCTTTAAATTTTCAATTCTGCCAATGGCACCAAAATCCTTCTAGTCATTCAAGCTTATAAATCCTGGATCAGCTTTGATTCTTTTTCTTCTTTCCCATTCTACATTCAGTCAGCTGCAAGCCTGATCACTTCCACCTCTATGGTACCTCTGCCTTCTGTCTCCTCTCAGCTGTCATTGTAACTACTCTTTTTCAGAATCACACCTATTCTTATCTAGACTATTGCCATAGCTTCTTAAGTGGTTTTAGTCTGTCTCTTCTCCAATCTATCCTCCAATGCTGCTGCCTGAACAATCTTCCCAATTCCCTGCTCTAATCATGTCAATTGTCTGCTCAAAAATCATTAGTTTCCCACTAACCACTAAGTCAAATATCAAATCCTGATTCTGGCATTCAAGGCACCCATGATTTGGTTCTAATCTGCCCTTTCAGCTTTCTGTCACATACACTTTCATAAACTTTACATTGCAGCCAGACTGGACTGTTATCTGCCTCCCTCCCTTTTTGTGTTTCCTTGTCCTGTCATAAGCATGGGCTCGTGCCACCCCTAACCCCCACCATGACTAGAATATACCCTCTCCCAACCTTGTTCCATATCCGCTTGTTAGGGATGCTTTGGAAGGCACAGGTTGAATTAGAAGAATTCTGAGGTCCCTTCTAACACTGAGGTCTTGTGATTCTATGAAAGCAATAATAATTATCAAATATCTGTGATGAAGGGAAAAAAAGAAAATGATTATTTAGCTAATGATGGGAATATATGGCTAGAGGGCCATTGAAAAGGAAAGACAATATAGATAAAGTCTAAACTTCAAAATTTTAAATAATTACTAACTATATTTTGAGTTGAAATAATTGTCCCTAGGACTGATTTTATTCTCATCTCTTGTTAAAATGAATTGGCTATGTAAAATTAATATAGATAATATCTACTCTTAAGGTTGAGTTAACTAAATTGGACACCTATCCAATAAAAACTCATATCTGTTTAATGTATTAAGGTATGCAAAGCAGTTTCCTTAAAAATCTCAATCAATCATTAAGAATTTGTTAAGTACATTCTATGTGTCAGGCACTGTGCTAAGCACTTGGAAATATGAAAAAAAGGCAGAAAAAAAGGGGAACAAGTCTTTGTCCTCAAGATGCTTACATTCTTTTTAGAGAGACAACAATACACACACATACATGTATATATATGTATATATATACACACACAAGATACATATAAAATAGATGTAACGGGGGCTGGAATATAGTAGAGCTCATAAAATATATGAGAGGATATGCCTCCAGGGGCCATCCAGTGAAGCATGAGCTTAGTAACCTTGGCAACTTCTGAGAATGTGTGTGCCTTAATGCTAATGTATTGATGCTTTGATAATGCAGTATACCCCGTGTTGTCCATGGGTCCTCCAAATTATGAAATATGTATGGGAAATGCTGAGCCAAAATTGCTTCAGAGAGGATTGGCTGCTTAGGGGAAGTGGCTCACTCAGTGGACATTAAAGTCCCGCTCAACATTTTGGCTATCTTTCTTCTTGTCTGCTGAGCCTGTCAGAAATCCTTTGGTCTCCCACTGGAAGAGTAATGAAAGGAGCTTATGCTCCCTAAACCTGGCAGAAAAGGCAAACTGCTCATCCATGAAAGCCACCAGATGTATGGGCTTATGTGAGTTCAGATC